AGAAAATGTTTTCAAAAGGTAAAATAAAATAATAACTGAAAATAAATATATTTTGTATTATTTTTTAGTGTCTTAAATAAAAGTATATATATATTTATTTACATGCACATGTTTAAATAAGCAAATAAATTCCAAAAAATATAAAATAAAGTGAAAAAAATATTTTTAATGTTTTTTATGTGTTGACAAAAAATATCAAGTCAGAAGAAAAAATAAAAAGCCAAAAATAATCAAAATATCACACAATGGGCCAAGGGGGTGCAAAATGAGAAAAGTGGTGCAAACAGAAAAACAACTCAGGCCCAGCCCAAGTGGCTTGTCTTCAACCTCCAGCCATTCAAACAGAAACAAAAACGCGTGTTTCTTCTTGTCAATCACAGATCCTGATTCCTTGACTTTTAACAAAAACTCACAACATCAATAATGTAGAGCATCAAGTCACGATTTCAAACATATAAAAAAGTTGTTCTAACTCTCAGAAACGAGAGAGAATTTCTCCTCCCCCAATTTCTGACCTAACTTTTCTTCCATGTTTAAGTTCAAAATTCTCACAGCACACACAATATAAATGAAAAGTAACTACATGAATGGCTTCAGGGCTATGAGTAGAACATGTTTTCTTCACAGACTTAAGCCTAACTATGCCTGGATAGAGAGATAGAAGTTCAAAATTTTACCTGTTCAGCTTGAGTCGTGTGCAGCAATGGAGGTACCTTCAATGGAGTTTGAGGATTTGTACAGCTTGCCTGAAGTCCAAGGATGCTCCTCCAACCTCTAGCTTGCTTTGAAACTAACTGAATCGAGCTATGGAAGTCAACATGCACAGCTGAAAAGTGAAAATGGCAACCTTGGTTATGGATGTTACAGTTCAAGTTCAATGTTTGGAATAGCTTTAATGGATAATAGGGAATGTGTTTGAAGAGGTTTTAGCCAAAATGCACGACAGGAATGGACTGTGGGATTCAAGTTGCAGCCTATGCCCTGTTTTTCCATAAAACTGTGATTTTCTGTATGAGGAGGGATCAAGGGTATTTTGGTCGTGCTTTAGGTCAGTTAGGGAGTATGAAATGTGTTTACAAAGTTTGTTTTTGTTGGTCTTTGCAGGAATGTGAGTTATGGTTCAATATGCAAGTTTTCTTCTTAGATAAGCAAAGATAGTCAAGTTGGGTTATAGGCCAATGCAGGTCCCTCAAGCATGCTGCATTTTCTCTTCTTGATCAGTGGGATTTGTCCACAAACTTGTGCCTCAAAGATCTGCTTGTACTTCCAAGATATGGACTTTGACATAAAGCATTGCTTTTTCAAAATGGCAAACTTGCTTTTTCCATTTAAAGGTTAATTCTTTGTGTAATGACTATATAATAAAATAATGCTAGAACACAATGGATTGGCATTTAATTATTGAGTGTGAATGGGATTAGAGGCCTGTAATCTAGCTTGAACCATGCTGAGTTTGAAAATGCAAAGTGTATGAACATGCCTTGGTCAAGAACAAAAATGGATTTTGCCCAACTTTGCAAATTCGATTCTCCCTAACCACAAGGGTGTTTGAGAAGTTCTTGGACAATTTGGAAAGCTTGGAAGGTGTACTACAATCCATCTTTGTAATTCAAGTTGAAATTCCAAGTGGAAGCATGTGAAAAGTGGCTATGAAGTTGGGTAAAAATCCTGCCTAAAATAGGTCAAAAATTTTCTAAGTTAAAGATGTTTTGCACCCCTATTCCAAAAATCATAACTTGAGCTACAAGCTTATTTTGAAAAAACTTTGTGAATAAAAGATGTAGATTTTGAAATGGACTATAACTTTCATGTTTTGAGTTTTGCTTGAATCCATTTACATCTTGATGAAAAAATGGGACAAAGTTAGGAAAAAATTAGGAAATTTCATAACTTAGAAAATTTCTAAGTTATGAAATTTCTTCATTTTAAACCCTAAATTGCAATTTTTGGTTTCTTGATGAACAAGTTTCATAATTTGACATGTCTTGATGAAAAATGAATCTTGGCACTTGATTTTGACCAAAAAGTCAAAGTTTGACTTTTCAGTATACAGTCAAATTTTGATCAGTTGACTGAAAAATTCATCTGTCAATCCTGTGCATTTGGGATCTTTTGAACTTGTTGAATGTGTCAAGACAATGCCATTGAGTCCTTGAGGCCATATGTGAGCTTGTTTTGATATTGGTTAGGTCAAACAGTCAAAAATTGCCTTTGTGCAGTCAAAACCCTAAAAATGACCATTTTGCCCTTTTGGTGATCTGATCAAATTTCTTGTGGAATTGTGATCCAAACTTGACCAAATGGTTCATATGAGTTCATTATGTTGATTTGGGTCAAAAATTATGAGGTTTGACTGTTAATTGGCCACAGTGGACTTTTTCCCCAATACAGCTGATTTTTAGGTCAATTGTCCAATTGACTGGGCAAAGATTGGAATCAAGGATTGAAACTTGGTATGGATAAGCTTGTGAGTCCAACATGAAGCATGAAAATCATTTTGGGCATTTTAGGTCAAAACATCTCTGCAAACTCAAACCCTAATTTGGGTCAACAGTGCAAGGAGGAGTCTTGGGCAGAGTAAACCCTAATTTGATCTTGAGCTCCAAGGGTCTTGTGGTGAGAAAATAAAGATGAAATGAGAGGGAAAATTTTTGGGTACAACAGACACGTACAAAGATATCAAAGATACATGTTTGGTAACAATGTTGAACACATATCAAGATATTAATGATACGTGTTCGGTAAGAATATTGAACACCTATCAAGAATAGACTGACCAAAATAGACTCTAATAGAGAACACGTGCAATAAAGGCGAACTCAGATATACATGCTCGGTAAGGATATTGGACACTGTTGTACCACAAAATTTTCCCTCTTATTTATAAGCCAAAATATCTTATGCTCCATCATTATATACATCATTTGCATTGCATTAAGTCAATGATATGGGATCAATAATTTTGACTATGGGAGTTTGTATCACTAAGGATAATAAATTTGATCTACAAGGGTTGAATATTTGAAATCTCTCCATCAATAAACATCATCTCAATGCACAAGATGTATGGCTTCAAGAAATTTATAAACTATCTCAGAGGAATTAGGGTTTGAAGCTCTGCTTAACTCTTCCTACATTGTGGTTACCAATTAGAGTTTTTGATCACTATCATGTTATGATTGAATCTTTGAACTTAAAATGGCTCCATGGTCTCCTAGCAGTCTTAAAGCATCTACATATGGTCTATTGATCTTCACATTTCATTAGATGGTCAAGAATGATCGAATAAGACAAGGTTTGAGTGTCTACAAGCAAAAGTAAAAAAAAAGAGTCAAAGGTTGACCAAATAAAATTTTTGGTAAAAAAAATCATTGTCAAAATCCAAGATATGAGGAAATGTGGCCATTTATTGTGAAAAGTCAAAATAATTGGTCAAAGATGAGGTTTCTTGCATTGTAAGTAATCTTAATACTTAGAATTTTTTTCTAAGTTTTAAGAGTTTTTTATGTTCATATAACCATCTTTGAAATCTTACATCTCACTCATTTGTGTACTAAAATTGACAAACTCAGGATCATTGGAAGAAGAATACTTCATACTTCACATGTGTCCCTTAGAGTTTGTTTGCAAAAAGTTCATAGATTGTGAGATATTTGAGAGGGAAGTTGGTGATCCATCCAAATTTGAACTTGTTACACTTACTAAAATCAATTTTAAAGTGACAAAGTATCTGACTTTAAACGTAATTCTGATATGGTTACAAGCATTATTTCAAAGTACCATCAACTACAAAATTGTTCATTTATCTTCTACCTACAAGATTGTAGAAGATATCAAAGTCAGTTGAGCCCTAGATTAGAAGATATAGAGGTTAGAAGTGGGCGTGTCATTAAGCATGAGAAGCTAATATTTAGAGAATTTTGGTGTGTTGAAGTCAGCTTGTGATGGCCAGAGTTCATGAGCGTTTTCCAAGGAGTTCAAGGCGCCAAGTCAACTTCTTTACAACTGCAAAGTTATTATATCATCTTCTCTCTTTAATACGGTACCAAAAGAGCATTATTTAGTCCACTATGGAAGAAATTAGAAAGCCATAAAGTGACGTATAAGGTTTAAGTGAGTGACTTGAAATACTTAAAGAAGTTGCTGGCAGTTTCATCAGGCACAACATCATGATTTCAGAGGTACCTTAAGGTATGCTACAAGCCTTATCTCGAGAAGTACTCAACACGAAACTTACTCATCCCTCATTCCCCTTCAACTTTGGTTTTGGGATCTTGTTGTAAGGATACCTGCAATTCAAGTTATCGGGATGAGAAGTAAGCAACATGGTTACGAGTCCGGCATCGCATCACTTGGCTAAAGATGATGTTCTAAGTTGTTCTGAGATATTTCACGCCAACATTGGGTTACAGTCACGCGCACACATGGTTATTCCACTTGATTACTCTCTTTGGCCATGCAACAATTCGTCATGCATGCATAATGGCAAAAGTGTTGCTCCAAATAGACATCACAAACTTGGCTATTAAGTTTACACACCACACTCTATTCTGCTCCCTCATGTACATGATAACGACACTCACCAGAAAATACAGTGACAGATTCTCAACAAACTTTTTTCTCTTCTCTCTCTTTCTCTCTCAAGAACCTGTAACCGTAACAAACTTTTCTCTTCTCTCTCTTTTTTTCTTTCTCAACAGAACCGGTAACCACCCCTCACTTCCATCTTCAATCTACGATCTCGTTCTCTGATCCTCAACCATCACCATTTCAAAGCTTCCTCTCGGTTCCAAGAATCTCTCAGTGCTACCTTCTCCTTTTCCCTCTTTTTCTCCACCCTCAAGAGAAGCCATTGTTGATTCCATCGTCTTGTTTGAAGCAAGCAAGCTCGGGCATTATTCATACTCCGTCTCCACCTTCAAGATTCCAATAATCTGAGTTTATTTCTCAGAAATTGGAAGATTATCTTGAGTATTCAATCCATAGCACCAAGATTCAAACGGAGCTGTAGAGTTTTCTGGAATTTCTTGCGCAGTTCGAGATCTTCAAACAGGTGAGTTCCTCTTGAATCCTTCTCGGCATGATAGACTTTCCATGCTAGGCTCATTCTTGCATCTGTGTGCTCCAAACCACTGGAGGCTGGAGCTAGGCTCACATGTTTTCGTGGTCATACATCATTGATTCAAGATTTTCGGATTTAATTTTTATGTTGAGATTTCTTGTTGATTCCGCTGGATTTATTGAAAATAGAGGTTAGATTTGGAATTAGGGAAGAAAACCGAGTCAGTTAGTGTTAGGCGCGGTCGTTTATGACGGGGTTCGCGTTTTCGGGATGTTCTCGATACCGGAGAAGATTACCGGAGTTTGACTCCGGCGTCTCAGTGTTATGCAAAGTGTCACATTTTCTCGACTAACCAATCAAATTTCATGCCACTTGTTATTCTTTTTTTATTTGATTTCGTAAATATTTAAGCAACACAAGGTGTTGGCTCTTGATTAGTCAAAATTGATTTTTGTTTTTTTTAATTCAGTAGAAAAAGGTTTTGTCCAGTTGATAAGAGTATGTGGGGCATAGAATAGAAAAATGTGACAAGAGATTAATTTAAAAAGAAATTCTGATATCAAGACTTTGGGTCATACTGTTAGTAGTTGGGCCCAGTGAAATTCTGATGTCACTCCTCTCTAAAGGGGCTTTAGCGCCAGCTTATTGGATTATAGTTTAATTAGAAAATTGGGCATACACGTCTTTGTTTCCATGCATACAATTCTCGATACTTATTCAATATTGGATCGTAATTCGATTTTTTTTGACTTGTAAAAATATTTAAAAAAATACATATTTGACTCTTTAATGTCTTATGAATTTTATCATGATTTTTGTGGAATTTTTTTTAATAGATTTCCATTTTTCTTTTCAGTTTTTTTTTTGGATAATATGTTGAGAAGTGATGTTTGTATGATATCTCGCATGTTTTGGTGTAATTTTTGTTTGACAAATAAAATCTATAAAAATATGATTATGATTCTTTCATACCTTAGATATTTTTAGATGATTTTTCCATATTTTTCTAATTGGATTTTTGTTTTCATTTAAATCCTTTTTGTGAGGTTATGCTATTTTACATAGTTCTTGATCAAGGTTAGTTTTTGATGATCGTTGACCATTATTTTGAACCAATCTTTTTGCCATGGTAAAAGGTTTATTTGATCATTGCTTATGTGTTAATTTGGTATTTTTTTAATGGAGAATTGAATCATTTTTAATTAGCTTTAGGAGCCTCGATGCATGCCTAATCAAAAATCCATGTCTATACAATTGTTTGATTTTTAAGCTTGCTTTATGCAATAGCTTAGGGATTTTTTATGATATGACAATATACATGATAACATGCTTTGTGATGTAATACCATGATTTTTTAGGTCTCTTGAGACCTTTGTTTGAATTTTTCTTTTGTGGTCGCACAGAAATGAATAATTGTCTAATTGTTTACCTAGTTAAGAGTTGATTTATTTTGTATGGCTTTCAATGCCTTGACTGACACTTTAATAATTATTTGATCAACATGTTAACATAATTAGGCACCTCTTACCTTGATGTATAGTTTGTAATTAGGTCATATGTTTAGTGCATTATGTTGCTTAACCTCTAAGTTATCAACTAACGTGTTTTGACCTAATTTTGGCGTATAGTTTGTTTTAATCATGATCTTTTTTGTAAATTTTGTTTGAGATTAATGATGATAATCTAGCTACTGACTTGTAATGTCCTCTATCATGTTTAACTTGAAACTTACTCAATTCCCAAGTTTTGATTACTTTGTGATGTTCATGAAGCAATTCAACGCAGGTTTCTTAGCTGTACATCCTATCCTCAGTGGGTCGCAAATGTGGTGCCAGTACCTAAGAAGGGTGGAAAAGTGCGTATGTGTGTAGACTACAGGGATATGAATAGGGAAATCCCCAAGAATGACTTCCCACTTCCACATATTGATGATCTGGTTGATAACACTGCTCAGCACAAGGTATTCTCTTTCATGGATGACTTCTCAGGGTATAATCAGATCAAAATGGCGCCTGAAGACATGGAGAAGACTACTTTTGTTACGTAGTGGGGCACTTTTTGATACAAGGTTATGCCTTTTGGGTTGAAGAACTCTGACACAACATATCAACGTGTCATGGTAGCTTTATTTCATGACATGATCCATCATGAGATAGAGGTCTACGTTGATGACAAGATAGCCAAATCCCAAACTGAAGAAGAACATCTCGATCACCTACACAAGTTGTTTGAGAGGTTGAAAAAGTACAAGCTGAAGTTGAATCCGAACAAGTGCATCTTTGGGGTAAGATCCGATAAACTCCTGGGTTTCGTCGTCAGTGGTAAAGGTATTAAAGTTGTTCCCGCCAAGGTCAAAGCCATTCAAGAAATGCCAGCTCCCCGTACTGAGAAGGAAATCAGAGGTTTCCTGGGATGATTGAACTATATTGCTAGATTTGTTTCCCATTTGACTGCTAGTTGTGAGCCGATCTTCAAGCTACTGAAGAAAGACCAGGTAGTGAAGTGGAACGACGACTGTCAAATAACCTTTAGCAAAATCAAGGAGTACCTCCAAGAACCTCTGATTCTGATTCCACCAGTTGAAGGAAGACCTCTAATCATGTACCTAACAGTGTTAGAGAATTCAATGGGGTGTGTATTGGGCCAACATGATGAGTCTGGTCGAAAAGAGCATGCAATATACTACCTTAGTAAAAAGTTTACCGACTGTGAAACAAGATACTCACTGCTCGAGAAAACTTGATGCGATTTGGCATGGGCTGCTCGCCGACTAAGAAAGTATATGTTGACCCGTACTACTTTGTTGATCTCTAAAATAGATCCCATCAAATACATATTCGAGAAGCCGACTCTCTCCGGAAGGATAGCCTGATGGAAAATTGTCTTAACAGAATACGACATTGAGTACACCACTCAGAAGGAAATTAAAGAAAGTGTACTGGCAAATCATTTGGCACATCAAGCCATAGACGACTACTAATCTATGAATTTCGAGTACCCAGATGAGAACATTATGCTTGTTACAGATTGTGAAGAACCTGTACCGTATGAAGGACCTGAGCCAGGATCCTAATGGACTATGGTTTTTGACTGAGCTTCTAACACACTAGACAATGGAATCAGGGTTATAATCATCTCTCCCAAGGGTTGTCATACGCCCTTCACCGCCAAATTATGCTTTGAATGTACCAACAACATGGTAGAATATGAAGCGTGCGTCATGGGCATCAAAGCTGCTATTGATCTAAGAATCAAGTTCTTCGAAGTATACAGAGACTCATCCTTAGTGATCAGTCAGATCAAGGGAGATTGGGATACGAAACATCCAAATCTCATTGCTTATCAGGAGCATGTATTGACACTAATTTCGTACTTTGAGGAAATTACCTTTAAGCATATTCCACGAGAAGAGGATCAGTTGGAAGAAGCATTACCTACCATGTCATCTGTGTTCAAAGTTAGATGGGACAATGAGGCTCCTCAAATTACTATTGAAAGAGAATCCTTGAAATTGTCACTGGCGGAGTAGAAGAGAATCCTTGATTTCATGGAGTTAAAAGGCACCTCGAAGCTTAAGAGTTCCCTAAGGGGGCATCTATCAACGACAAGAAATTCCTACGGAGGTTCTCTACCAAGTCCTTTTTGAGCAACAAAATTTTGTACAAGCGCAACCATGATTCGACTCTGCTTCATTGTATGGACAAGAAGGAAGCTGAGAAAATTATGGAAGATATGCAAGAAGGTACCTTTGGTACTCATTCTAGTGGGCATACTATGGCTAAGAAGATTCTGAGCGAGGGTTATTATTGGTCGACTATGGAGACTGATTGCTATCACCACTCAAGAATTTGTCATAAATGTCAAATCTATGCTGACAAAGTACACGTGCCTCCGGTCCCTCTGAATGTGTTGACTTCTCCTTGGCCGTTCGCAATGTGGGACATTGATATGATTGGAGAGATCAAGCCTACTGTGTCTAATGGACACTTTTTCATCCTCGTTGCCATTGATGATTTCACCAAGTGGGCTGAAGCAGCCTCGTTTGCCTCCATTACAAAGAATGTTGTGGCCCGATTCATTAAGAATAACCTTATCTGTAGGTATGGCATCCCCGAAAGGATCATCATAGACAATGGTACTAATCTTAACAATACTATGATCATGGAACTTTGCATGCAGTTCAAGATCAAGCACCATAATTCTTCTCTGTATCGACCAAAGATGAATGACGTAGTTGAAGCCGCCAATAAGAACATCAAGAAGATTATAAAGAAGATGATGGTGACATATAAAGACTAGCATGAAATGTTACCTGTTGTACCCCAAAAATGTTCCCTCTCTTTTCTCAAGACACTTGACACAAATATCTTCAATAGCTCAAGATTGCACAAGTGTTGACTAGGTCAAATCACCTCTTAAACATTGGAACCCCAAATTAGGGTTTTGATTTTCACAAGGGAAATTGGACTTATAATTCCTAAAAATATTTTCATGGTTCATTATGGGTCTCCAATAATACTCATGCCAAGTTTCAAGTCTTAGATCACAATTTTGCTCAGTCAATTGATCAGGTGACTAAGAATTAGTTGTATTGGTTAAAAAGTCAATTGTGGTTAACCTATAGTCAAACTTCATAACTTTTGGTCCCCGTCATCATTTTGAAGTTATATTTATCCATTGATCAAGTTTTGATCACAATTCCTCAAGAAAATCACTCAATTCACCAAAATGGTAAAATGGTCAAGATTAAGGTTTTGACTGTAATTGACTTATCATTGATTTTTGAACTAATACATGATCCAATGGTTTAAAACACAATCTAAAGGATTCAAATACAACATGATTACCTAATTACATGGCTCAAATCATCTCTTAAGATCAATGGATTGATAGTTGAATTTTGGATCAACTGATGAAAAGTCAACTAATACACCAAAAGTCAAACTTTAACTTTTTTGGTCAAATTTTAATCTCAAAGATCAAAATTCATCAAGACATTAAAAAATGTGAAGCTTGATCATCAAGAAATCAAGAAAGTCAAAAATCAATTTGAAAAGTCAAACTTTTCAAGACTTCAAAATTTTTCTAAGTGTTTTGTACATGATGATTTCACAACTTCATGCCAATTTTTCACCAAGATGCAAGATGACTCAAAGAAAATTTTCAACATGAAAGTTGTAGATATTGATGATATCTACAACTTTTCTTTGCTATTAAGTCCTAGAAGTTCTTGGATTTTGAGTTACAAATTCACGAAGTCATGCACTTTTTCTAAAAACACTTAGTGAAAATTTTGATCAATTTGGTCAGGATTTTGCCCTAACTTCATGGCCAATTTTCACCTAGCTCCAAATTGATTTAGCAAAAATGGACAACATGAAAGTTGTAGAGGGTGTTTCAATATTTCCAAAATGTCCAAGAACTTAAAGAGATCATTTTTGAGCCAAGAGAATCAAAGAGAAGAAGTTGGGCATCCATTCTTGAATTATAAACCATTTTTGTGGTGAACTCATAGCAAAATCTCAAACCTATCCTACATAATCAGACTTTTTAGGCAATTTGACTTCTAAATATCACCATGATCAAAAATTTACACAAGTTCTAAATGTATTACACAAAGATTAGAAGCATTGTCCAAGTCTTGATACCATTTTTTGATAATTTGCATAAAGTCACTTTACCATTTTGGTAAAGCAAGCTTTATGCTAACAACTCTTTGCTTAAACTTGTGATTTAATCCTAATCATATCCAATACAATCTCAATGTCAAAAGCGATCTCAAGAAGTCAGTAAAAGCATGGCAAATCCCTTGAATCACTCACTTTCTTCATCATGAAGCAATAAAATCTTTGTATTCTCAAAACAAGCCAAAAACTTCAAAACTTCAGAATTCATATTCTCACTCATTCTAATCTTTTATCTATAAATAGAGATGAATTTTGCAAGCCATGACATAAAAGGAGAAACTTGAAAACTCCCTCAAACTCTCTAAAACTCAGAATTGCACTTCAACCTCCATAATTTGTCATTTCTTCCCAAGAACCTAAAACCCACATTTCCCTCGTGCGTTTGATCGGGATTATACTTAGGTATCCAATGATTCGGACTACAAGTGCACAGTCTTGTCGTGTAGTTTTAAAAGATATCAAACCATAGAGACTGATGAATCGAACTACCGTCTTCTATTGTTACTTCTCAAATCTAAAGCTAATGAATGTTTGATTGGGTTGTAGGGAAAACTAAATACTAAATTAAGTTGGATTTTTAATAATCAATGAGCGGAACTACCAGTATGCAATATTCGAACCTCGAGAACTAGCGACCGGTTGGGTGTCTTTATATTTTTAAAACAGCTTTCAGTAAAACTTATTTAGTTTAAAAACCCTCGTCTCACACTGTCGTTTTGTTGATCTAGGCTATGCAGTTAAGTCCTAACGTACGCTTCCGCCATCCCGCAGGAGTTAAAAACACCTTTTGAAAACTAAATAAAATCTTAATTAACTTTAAAGTGCTTCCACTGTATTTTAAGCTAATGCCTAATTACTACTGTCTAGTTAAAAGATCTCAAGCTTCCGCTTTGTTGACCCTAACCTCTATCTGTTCTTTACTTTCGTAACAAAACAATTTAATGATTAAAAATAGTAACTTAGACCAGAAAAGAAGGTTTTGTACTAAAAATAATCCCAACTAAGTCACTCGATCCCTTGGTTATGTGGCCTTACATACCGGTATACGAATTCTAGTCTAACATAATATCAGATCAAATCACAGAATAATTCCAGAGACATACAAAAATAAACATGATTATATTGATTAAAAGTAATAAAAATTCGTAAACATAAACCTGGTAATAATTCTGGATATAGAAGTACTACTGCACAAACTGTAGGCTTTGCTTCGATTGGGGAACAAATGTAACCGTACAATAAAAATAAATGCTAGAGGAAATATAGAAATTGTTGGGAAATGAATAATGCTTAAAGAATATTTGCTTAGAGTAAAAATGAATTCTCCAAAGTTTCTGCCCAAAAAGAACTCTCTTTTTCG